AAGTATACAATGTGCATTGTCATCAACACAAGAGGCAACATGATGAGAGTTGATAGTAGGGTTTAGATCACTGATGTGATCAGAAAATGAGACTCTTCTAAGATAATTAGAAGAGTAAGGCTTAAGTTGATGGAGTTAATTTAAATAGCATGATGAGAGTTGATAGTAGGGTTTAGATCACTGATGTGATCAGAAAATGAGACTCTTCTAAGATAATTAGAAGAGTAAGGCTTAAGTTGATGGAGTTAATTTAAATAGAGAATCAAGTTTATAAAGTTTTAGCTGGTAGGCCAACACTTCTTTGCAATCTGTCCAAAATTGGAAACACAATCTTCTACCTAATGGTTCTTCCAATCCAGAACTCCAAATCTAATTAATTTGTACTTGATTTGTAGGTGAGAATGTCTACTTTAATTCTGAGATTTTGATAAGGGATGAGAAGGAACTGATAGGGCTAATGTGCTCTGTAAGTAGAGTTCATAAGTTCTGTCCAGAACAAACCAAGGTTAGGAATTTGGTTGTGGTTTACTATGAATTAGGTGGAATCCAAGATTTCCACTTGAAATAAATCAAGGACTTCCCCAAAACAATATCCAGAGGCTTCTGAGATTTTTTATGGAGTTTTAAAACTATTTTTTTTTAAACTGGAAACAAGTTACAGAATTGAAACAGCAAATTAGACTATAGCTAAATTATTTATCAAAATTTTAACAAGAAAATCCCAAAATAAATTTAAGGTTGTTGTATTATAGGATATGTACTAAAGATTTGGATATTGTGTGGGAATTTTATGGGGTTTTAGGATGGTAAAATGCTGGCAATAGTGAATTAGTCTAATAAAACTAGAAAATCTGGCCAAGCCTCAAAATGGGGATTTGACTTCGATTTTGAGGCATGGAAAATGATTTGAATTTTTCTAAGATGGAGTACAAACAAGAGAACACAATGACAGAAGATTGCAAAAAAATCCATGATGCACCGACACTTCTCCTCAAATAAACATGCATTATCAGACATGTATCTGACATGACACACGTTCGTTATGCATCTAACACATGTCGAAAACTTGTCCAATTAAAAAAATATTGAATAAAAATTGGACACGTTTGTCTTAGATATTTTATATTTTTTTAAATATAATTTCTTGCATTTAAAATTTTTATTTATTTAAAATATAAAAACTAAATTTCTTATTTCCTATCCACAACATCAAATTAATCCCCGCACTCAATGCCCCATTCTTCGAATATTTTCATTTTCATTTCTCTTTAGCGGTCATGATTTTGATTTCACAACAATGCTCGAAGTCATCTCAACATTAACATGCAACATGGTTACAACATCGACATTCAACATGGTTACAACATCGACATTTCAAAATCATCTCAACATTAAAGTCTGACATTGTCTTGACATTTCTGCTCGATGCTAGCAATTTCTACAACCAAAACTTAACAACTCATCCTTGTCCGATGTCCTCTTAACATTGACGACCAACACCCTCTCAACATTGACAAGAGATATGGTCTTGACATTGACGCCCGATACTTACAGCATAACATTGATACCCGACTCTCAACAACATTGTCGTTTCCTCTCTCGATGTCTGATACACGGCATCGACGTCCGACTCTCGACATCTTAATATTAATCATTTTAAAATAAATTCTAGTTAAATGACTTATTATTTCTAAATTATTTTTAATATTATACTTATTCAATTTTTATATACTATTTTTAAAATATAAAAACTATAATATTATGTCAAACCCATGTGCGTGTCTGTGCATCATAAATAAAAATTAAAATCATACTCACTAAAGTAGAGGTTCAAGAGGATCACCAAAACCCCTTGGGAGGGGCCAACCCCATGCTTGGGCACGGGCACTAGTTAACACCTATAAACACCCCAATTCTCACATGCAAACTTGCATGGTGAAACCCTATGTCTTAACCATGACTTACACTTAATACATTAAACACCAACAAAGTAAAATACAATCTCTTCAAATCAAAATAATACAAACAACATGCATATGAAATTACATAAAAGCATAACACCAAATGCATAAAAACATAGAATGATGTAAATTCTCATGATTTCTTCACGGCTTCAAGTTCATGGGCTCTTGCTTTTTCTATGATGATAGGACCACCTCCATGTGCTACATCACAACTAACATCATCATTTGATGCTGTTAATATCGCATTCCTCAATGATGCCAAATCATATACCTTAGTGACACCAAATCACACCCCTCGGTGATGCCAAATTGCATCCCTTGCTAGCATAAACCACATCAATCATCGACATCAAGCCACTTACACCCTGTCAAGTAGCTTTACAGTTCTCTCCATATTACATTACATTGCTCACTCCTACTCAAGCAACTTCATTGTTCGCCCCATAGTTGCCATCACTTGATCCTCACAAGAAGCTTCATCACTTGTTATATAATATGTTGTGCCACTTAACTTCAGGCAGCTTTGTAGTGAACAACATCATTCACTCCTCCTAGGACAACTTCATCACCTACTCCATAAATGGTTGCATTGCTTGATCCACCTAGACAAAATCGTCACCTACTTCATAACCAGTCGTATGGCTCGCTCCTCCACAAAACAACTTCATTGATCACTTCGTTAAAACTTCATGCAATACAATCACTAAACCTAGAGCAAAATCTAATATGGTACGGGATCTTCATTAGTCGCTCCAAACCCATAGCCATAATGAATGTTTTTAACAATTTTTACCACTCTACCGACATGTTTATTTAAATCTCTTTCAATAAATACTCTTTTCTTCAAGAGATGTTCTTTGTATTAATCCTCCTAAATTATTTCAAAATTTTAATTTTTAACACATATCCAAACCTGCAAGAGAAACATAAACACATATAATATTAATAATCTTAACATCAACAATAATCTTTAAAGCTATAATTTAATCTTTAATTCTATTAATTTCTATAATATTAATCTTCAAATTGTTATCTATAATCTCACATACACCATTTCTAGTAAGACTACTATATGAATAGTATAGTTTAAATCATAAATTATCAATCTTTTTAGCCTTCTCTCCAACCTATTTAGTTTCATGAATATATAAAATATTTATCTTCATATGAATCATAATATATTTTAATTTCATTAATTTGCTTGTAAGAGAATATATATTTCAAAATCTTATTCTACTTATAATTTTATGGACTAGCTTCTTCGCCCACATCCATCCATGGTGTGTGAACCCTTGCTTAAAAATACACCCGGAAGCTGGTGTAGCAACCCTTACACACTTCTCGATATATTTAGGCCATATAATGCATCAATTCCAAGGAATGCTAGAGCATTACAATGTATTAAAAGATTTACATCATGATTGTTTGACAAGTTTTATGTTGGCTATCAACTACTTAACGCAAAATATCCAAGACTTGGGACCTGACAAAATCAAGACATGTTATGAAAAAATATGTTATTTGACTGATAGTAGGTAATTAGGTCTATTAAATTGTTGTAAGGTTATTAGTGGGTCATTAGGTTTACTTCTTTGCTATAAATAATCTTCTTTAATTATGAGCATTTACAACTGTCCAATCCCTTCTTCCCCTCACTACCTGGAGTTTCAGGCTACTTATCTTGTAATTGTTGTTAATATTCATATTTAGGGGTTGTTTGGTTGCAAATAGAATTTATTTGAAGAAGGATTTAGTAAATCTTATAAACCTGAATTTAATATACCTTGAGGCTATTAAATCTTGAAAAACTATTTGGCATGGCAAAGATTAATTACGCTTATATCTTGATACGTTGTTTGGCTATTTACTTTAGGATTTAAGTTTGTTGACTCAAATAAGATTTTAATAATATCAAATTGCTTGCTAATATTTATAATTGATTAATATTAATTATAAGATTAATTATATAATCTACAAATGATTTTATGTTACTAACTCCTTAGAGCACAAGAGAGTTTATTTGTATATTAATTAAATTAATTAAATCATACTTATTGAATATTAATATCCAGAATAATTATAAATTAATTATCTATTAATCTAATTAAACATAAAAAAAGTTTTATTTAATCTCTAAATGAAGACCTAAATATCATCATTGAGGGTGACATAAAAAATGAAGATATAAAAGAAACTTATTTGCAATTGATTAGTATCTAATCAGATGGTTCTCTAAATTATATTATTGTAGCCTACAAAGAGATAAAATTGCAAAAACAAGAAAGCTAAAGGACAATGGAGTTGGGAGATGCTTAGGCGGCATTCTTCTCATTCTTCCCTACCACTGCCAACCTATATCTATAATTTCTCTTCTCTTTGGTCTTTGTCTATGCTCTTTTAAAACCTTAGGTCCATCTAGGGTTTTTTTTTTTCCTCATTACCATTTTTTCATTGCTACTTTGACTTCAAATGAAGTAGAGTTTTAATTGTGCTTCTCGTTAGGTTATGTCTTCCTTCGCTCTCTCTTTTTCAAGGAGACCACGTCTACAACTTTGAAGCCATGGGCCTTGAGCTCAGCTTTGGCCAGCTTAAGCGGACAGAAGAACAAGCCATTGCCCTACATTTCTCCTATGCTTCAGATTCCCTGAATCCTATAAACCAACCAACCCAGACTTAGTCAATCTAGTATTTAGGACAAAATGGAAAACAATGGATTTCAGATTCTGTAGGATTAAAGCTGTCATTTTTGTTGTCTGGCAGGATTAAAGCTAAATGCTGCTCAAATCCAGCATCTAAACAGCCCCTTGATGTTTTTTCCACGATTTTACATTTTTACTCGTATCAGCATGTAACGACCAAGAGCATCATCAATAGATAGTGCGCAATATCAAATAACACTGAAAAAACAATTCCCCAGTCTTGTAAGTACAAGTTTTGGAAATAGTGACGAAAAAACAATATACAGTTGCAGATACCCTAGAACTAGAGCAAAGAAGAAAGAGCATGAAAAATAAGGCACTTTGCCGGACAAGGTACCAGTCTTCGCAAAGCCGACCAGCCGCCTCTTCTTTGCTTCCCTCGCAGTTTCACCAGACTTCTGCTTGAGCGCCATTACCCTGGCCAAGAATCAGCTTCAAACGTGTAAAACCGACCTCGAAGATCTCAGCTATCCGCTAATATGATTTCTAGGGTTTCTGAATTAACTTAATGGCCCAACAGAGAGGCGGGAGATTTGGGCGAGGTGCTTAGCTTTATAAAAAAAAAACTGAACCGAATTCGTTCGCGTCTCGAGCGACACGGTAAAATCGTTGACGTGCATGTAAAATTGATCTGAATTTATTATGGAAATAAAAATACATCTCTTATTTATTTTTTGTAAATATATTTAAATTTTATTTTGGAATTGTTGCGGGCTAGAACATACGTGGCGATAGAATTGTAATTATACATCTTAGCGTTGCACGGATATATAGCTCACACACAGAGAACACAAGATTTTTTACTTGAAAAATCTAAAAAAGAGGAAAACCACAAGGCTTAACCCAGTTGAAAATGTTTCACTAGAATTTAAGTTGAGTACAATGGGTTGACTCGTCCTTGAGGGCGATCAGATTACAAATGTCAACCGTATGGTTGAAGTCTACTGTTAAAATATGGCGTCACTTGAAAGTTGGGGCATCAGTTAGTAGTATGATAGTGACTTGGCAAAACTCTCACATCAGTTGATGGTCTGGCAGAGTTTAGAGCCTCAAGTAGTGTCTGGCGAAAGTGAGAGTCTCAGGTGGTGGTGGCGCTAGAGGAATGGCCTCAAGTAGTGTCTAGCGAAGGCGAGGGCCTCAGGTTGTGGTCGAACGACTCCGGCGGTGGGTATGGTTAGAGCCTTGATCTGGAGTGGCATGGTTAGTTTATAGATTTCTGGAGTGGCATGGTTAGTAAATAGGTGATAGATCAAGGATAAATGAGGAGTGGTTAGATGGACAACTGATGTTGAATCCCTTGATCATGAATCGTTGATGGACATTTGAATGTTTTAGTGATGTTGGAATTTAGTTATCTTGGGCTCGTTGGATTCGTCTCATCGAGCCGCTCGATTCCACTATAAGCATGTTATGTTTGGAAACTGTTTGGTAATCCAATTTGTTGTTTGAACCTTCCAACAGCGCTTATAACACTTGATTTGGACCCATTTGGACTCAGATTGGGTTGGATTTAGTGTCGTTGGGTTCGTATTCTCGAGACACTCAGTTCGATTATAAGTTTGATGAAATCAGAGTTTGGATAGTCCCAATTTTAATTTTAGAAGTTTCCAACTTAATTTTGCATCTAGATTCGTGCCCGATCAAGATAAAATTTTGATGATGTATTAGTTGCCCCCTATTTTCGGATGTCAAATCTCCAGAAGTCTGAAAATATGTGTCGCATCCTGTGGGGTATTTCTTGGGTGATATAAAATTCTAGAGCATAGAGGTCTCAAATGGCCTTCAAAGTGCCAAAATGGAATCCGGAACGTCGAAGAACGGTTCCTGAGACTCCAAAAACATGCAATTTGGCCTTTTCGGACCCAAATTTGACCAAAACATATTATATAAACTATAATTTAAATAAAAAAATAGAGATTGTTATATCAATTTTTCATTGGTGGATGAGTGGTAAAACTTTTGTCGTTCATGCCCAAGGTCTTGGGTTTGAATCTTGCTGAAGGCAATGATTTTTTATGGTTTTGACGTGGCAGCGACACGAAGGACGCGGTGATGACATGTCAGTGACACCTAGGATGGGATTGATGATGTGGCATTGACATTCAGGACTTATCGATGATGTGATAGTAATATGCAGGATGAATCACTGACGTGGCAGTGGCATGTAGGACGGATTGCTGATGTGATTGTGATACGTATGACAGATCGATGACATGGCAATGACACATATGATGGATCGATGATGTGGCAATACCACGTAGGGCGAATTGATGATATGGCATCCATGACTTATTAGGTTGTGGCTGACATGGCCATAACACACAGATCGTGGTTGACGTGTCACCCATAACCTATTGGGTCGTGGATGATAAGGCCACGACATGTAGGATCATGGGTGACAAGGCCATGACACGCTGATCGTGGCTTACATGTCAGCCAAGATCTATTGGGTTGTGAATGATGTGGCAATGACATGTAGGATTGTAGCTGACATGGTCATAACATATAGGGCTTATGGCTGACATGGAATGACGTGGATGATGACGTGGCACCCAAAAAATTTTTAAAGGCCAAAATCCCCTTCTTTAACTATAAATAGCCCCCCCTTGGGCTTTGAATATTACACATTCTCTTTTCTCTCCCTTCTTTCAATTGAGGCCTTCCCTTGGTTCTGTACGGGTGACATCCCTCGTCCAAGCCCAAGGCCCCTCTCTATGCAAGAAGGACCGGAGATCCCCCATTCCCCCTTTAACGCCCTTCCTTACATAGGAGAAATATCAGGTGACCGCCTTCCATCGAGAGATCCTGTGATCAGGGAAACCACATCGCACCATATAATTACGAGCGGAGGCCAAATAAGAAAATGAGGGTAGATGAGGCAGCATCGACTGTTACGAGTGACTTCCTCATCCTTTTCCGCAAGAATTTTCATTTCCTAAATGATGTGGTGATGATTATCCCTAAGAGGTCTGATCGGGATGGTCTTCCTCCTCCTGAGTACTTGACTGTTTTTTAGATCAGCTTACGAGCGTGGTTACACTTTCCACCTCCTGCTAAGTTGATCAAAATTTTATGGCGATGTGGGGTGAACCTACCCAATTTTCATTTATAGTCATATCGGTGATTGTGGGATTTATTGTGCTCTTTAGGGATTGAGGAGCTATTATAATTAATGCCTGAGCACCATTTATGGATAGGTCAATTTACTAGTGACATTCATAGGTGTGTAATATTCAGATCCAAATGGTTGGATTTGCATACCCGTGATCCTTTAAAGAGCTGGGCCAGTGCATTTTTCTTTATGAAAAATGATTGGGGCCTGATAGAGAAGTGGGGGAAGATGAAGGATCTGTCAGCCCCTCTACATGTCGGGAAGAAGACATAATGAGGAACATCAAGGTTCTAGACATCAAACATCTTCTATATAAGGTTCTACATTAGCAGATACATAGAGGAAGAATTATTGTTTAAGGTCGGGCTATCGTTTCATGTTGGGAGGTCTGATGCAAGGATGTTAAAGACATCTTTCAAAGTTCCCATGCCCTCTGCCCCAGCTTCAAAGGTGGGTCCTAAATGACTGGTGAGAGGTGAAGACCCTCAGATTTTAAAGAAGAAAAAGTTATAGGGGACAGCGATGAATACTGACAAGGCTCTACCTGAATCTTCTCCCATAATGTTTCACATCCCTAGGGATGTCTTGAGCAATCAATGTATCGGACGCTGCAAAGTCAATGACTTTGTGAGTAATATCTTCCTAATTCTTTTTTTTTTCTGGGATGGCTTATAACAAACTTTTATTTCTTATTTTAGTTGTCACGTCTTAGGATTGAGCATACTGAAACTTTAAACGAATGGAATAATGAATTTGTGAAGATCATATATCTTCAAGGAGAGTTCAAACAGAAGTACGATCATAAGACCAAGGAGGTAAAGGTGCTAGAAGAGCAGTTAAGAAAATGCAGGAATGAGTTGGCCAACACAATGCATTATGTGTCTCTTCAAAATCAGCAGGTAGATCGCCATCAAATTGACCTCACAGAGGCACAAGTGACAATCACCCAGCTTTTAAAGGATCAAAAGGCCTCTGCAGGGAAGATAACGGTGCTTGAGGTAGAGAATAAGATCTAAAATACTTTTTAACATAAATGGAAGAGGTTAGATTGAATCCCCTCATATTGATCATCCATTGATTGAGTTACAAAAAAGATTGTGAGTTGCTCAAATCAAGAATTTCAATATTAAAGTTTATTGTTGAGTCTAGTAAATAGGTTGTTAGACCTAAGTTAATGTCCCAAGGCTACCAAGAGGGGGGGTGAATTGGTAGTTTAAAAATTTAAACCCTCTTTGAATTTAAGTTGAACCGAAATGAAAATTTTTCTTTTAAGTTTTTCTATAAAATATTTTTCAACCACAGAGTTTTTTAAAATTAAAAATAAAATGCGAAAACGTAAAAATAATAAAGTAAATGACACCAGATTTATAGTGGTTCGGTCTAAACCAGATCTACATCCACTCCCCAGAGGCACCCTCTGAGTATTGCACTAATACCAATAGTGACTCTCCTTTTGCACCCATGCAAGGCGGAGAAGCCTTTATAAAACACTCTTTTCACCACTACCCGGTGCGGTAGAGAAATGTCATCCTTTTACACAATTCCAGTGTTGGCAGAGAACCGTCCGTCCTTTCACACAATCCCAAGTATTGGTAGAGAACCGTCGTCCTTTTACACTCTCCTAGTGTGGGCATAGAACCCTTCGGCTGTTCACACTCTCCAAGTGTAGGCAGCGAACCCTTCGGCTATTCACACTCTCCAAGTGTAGGCAGCGAACCCTTCGGCTATTCACACTCTCCAAGTGTAGGCAGCGAACCCTTCGGCTATTCACACTCTCCAAGTGTAGGCAGCGAACCCTTCGTCTGTTCACACTCTCCAAGTGTCGGCAGAGAACTGGATCTCCTTGACAGATCTTCTCACAAAAATCTAGAAGGAAGAAGGAAAAGAGTGAAGTAATCCCAATTCACAAGTAGAGATTCTTACCTTTAAACTCCAAGTGAAGCCTTCACGCTCCAATGGTA